TCGGAGCGCAAGGAGCATGCATTTCTCTACGACCCTTGCGATCCGATTGGTCATTTTCGGCACACGGGGTTTTTCGTCACACAGGGACGGACTTTATTGTCCATGGCGATGTTTTGTATTGAGGAACTCAGCCGGAGAAGCGCCAACCAAAGGAAAGTCGCATAGTATGGCGTGGCAAAGGCGCTGATACAAGCATTAAGGCCATCGACAAACCAAATGATGGTCTAGAAGCGGAGCTGAATAGTTAGTAAGCCAGTAATGACCACGCGATGACGGAATACTTGTGATAAGACGCCCGTTTGGATATATTTGTTCAGGTAAAGCGCAAAGTGGCACGTGAGCATGACATAAATAATCTTTCCGATAATGGCATGCCACTTGTTGGTCGCCCCGTAGGTTGTGCGAAAAGCAATGGCAGCTGGGTTGGCGTGCTTTGAGGACAAGAGGATCTGAGTTGGCAACAGAGCCATACCGACCATGCCAAACCTCTTGGTTAATTGGTTGTAGTCTTTTCTAGTTTGTTAGTGGCATACGATTACAATCTGCGAACATATAAATTTTGTAAAAGGGATATTAAACATATAACTCAACAACTTACTGTTTCCAGTCTCAGCGAAACAAAGAAGAACCATAGAGTCCATAAACTCCCACAAATAACCTGCCCACGTGTGCAGTAGATAAGACTGGTGAGTCTGAAATGACATTCTAGCCACCATTTCCATTGTCCGATTTTTACTCTGAGAGGGGATGTCTCATATGCCGTATGTCGTCCCTCTTTCCGATACCTCACATAATCGTAGATATCGTTTCTATGCTTGAAGACTGCAACTAGCCAGAATACTCCTCTCGCCCCGAAAATAATGAAGAGAGGAACTAGTAGGGAAAACTGGGCATAAAGTCCGTACCGATGTAGCGTCTGGAGTTCGTATAGATGACCCGCATCGGTATGCTCATAAAATTTGTAAGGCCAACCCATTATCCTAGCTATTGCGTCACCGAGCAACTGTAATACGAGGAATCTTTTGCGAGATATTAGATTGGTGATGCTGTGGTGCATGGAACGGATGGTCTAACAATTTCAAAGAAAACTTACCTCTAGAGACACGTATGGGGGTCAATCGAACTGAACAGCACGTATTACGTATCAATTCGAGTTTTGCAGTAACGTTACGAATTAATGCTCTGGGTCAAAGTGATAAGGGTATTTCTGAGCGCATAACCTAATGCGACCGATGGATAACTATATATAACTATCCAAATGTATTTCGTGAATGGTAGGCTAACATTGGACAGCCTTACGCCTTTGGTAGTCTGAATGATGAGATTGTTGTTCTGTTACATACACTTGGGATCTC